GCACCACAGCACGTCATAGACGGTGCAGAGCTTTTCAGTTATTTCTTAGATAAGTGTAGGGGAGGTGAGAATGATACTTAGAGCCTCTGCTCTTGGGGACACATCTCTGCAGTAAAAGAAAGCCATCCGACGTCACTCCTTGCTCTTCCATTTGTGATAAATCCCACCGAATCGAATTCATGTAGTCCGTCCGCATCTTACAGACGTTAAGCACCACCGGGACGTAAGAGGGAAAGACCAGGCTAGGAAGCAGGAACCGGACAGTCGAGACGCATCGGTGGGCGGTGGTGCTCCCTGAGCCCCCAGGTGAGAGGAGTCCACCTCCACCCCTCCTCCCCGGGACAGGAGGTCCTCCCTAGATGGCAGGGCTTCATTTTCCCTGGTGGATTCTTTTGATTCTTCTCCGTTTAGGTGATCCCAGAGACAGGCAGAACTGGGGCAGCGTTAAAATAGCGCATCAGCATAGGAGGGAGGGTCAGAGAGGGAACTGGGGCAACGTGCAGAGCACAGGTCCCAGGAAATCAGGTCTTAAAGGAGAAGGTTGCAGTTTTGGAAAATGAGAAGTACACGGTCCCCAGAGCCCAAAAACTTTAATTTATATCGAAGAAGATCGGGAGGGTTATTGTAACTTGAGCTGGTTGCCTCTGTCCTTCGCTTTCCCTGTCAGTCAAATTAGAAGGGCCTGGGTGAAGTTTGAGGGGTCCAAATAACCCAACCCAGGATGATGCTTGATGCACATGACTGTGCCGGTCCTGTGGTCGCTGTTGGTTTACCTACCGGTGGGCTTACCCTTTAACTTGCAGTGCAAGGGGTCGAATTAATTGTTTGGTGGTACTGGGAAAACACCTCAAAACAGGTATTGTTCTGTTCCGGGTGGCTAAGTATAGGCTTGTCATCTCTCAGGAGCTCTGGTCCCTGGTCTCTAGTCCAGCTGAGATTCCCCACTGAGGCAGGACACTATTGAAAGACAGGAAGCAGCTGGGCTCTGGCTGATCAAACTGTCCTTGGCTCTTGTGGTTGTATAACCTTTAGCTGGTCTGATGGCAAGAGAGAGAAAGGAAATGAAGTCAAGAGACGACTCCTCTTGATTGGGGGTGGAGGGATCCTGTGGCAGCATTTGCTTGGTAGAGTCCACCCAGCGCTGAATCGGACGATTACAAATTCCCCCTCGTGCCCCGTCAGTCATTCCTCCCTCATTTTGGGAGATTGACAGGAAAGGACTGGGAGCCTGGTAAGTTTCCTGCCTGTGTCACAATCTGGTGGGAGCAGACGATGGCTTAGGGTAAACCGGTTTGAGACTTGGTTCACTCCCTTCGCTCTGTCGGTGGCAAATAGTAGACTGGCTCTGAAAGGGAACTAGATGGAAGAGAGGAAGGCAGCTGGGTGGCCTTACCGTCTGCTTACCTGGCTTCTGGGGCAGTGGACAGAGTCTAGTATCAGATGTAGTTGGCGGAGGTGGAGGTCTCCTGGAGACTCTACCCGTCTCTTTCTCATGAAGGGAAAACAGACATCTCTATACGTGCTTCCTGAGTGCCGATGAAGGTTGGTCTCACGAATAACAAAATCATGTCAATTGGATGACATTGCAGACCTTTGGTTTAGCTTTCTTTGCAGGGCTGATTTTAATTTGATTTGGACATTTTTTTTTTTTTTTTCAAAATGGCATCCAAATTTCCTAGCTATCTTAACCTTTACATAGCTCATAAAGATCACAGTATTTATCATTCTGTAGGGTTGTTGGTGCTAAATGGTGACTGGGCAATTATGAGAAAAGATTGGGGCGGTCGAGTGGTAAAATCCATCTTGATCACTGGATGACCTTTCAGGAAAGAAGGTGGGAAAGACATTCGTTTTTTTCCCCTTAGCTCTCCATATTTTTCCATCCCTCTTACCTTTTGCCTTTTAATTTCTATTTGAAAAGTAATTTGCAGACTCAGCATCTTACAACCGGTGCTATAGGCTCATGCGCCAAGTGGGAGCAAACTCTGTCCTTCCATGTTAACAGAATTCCCCGAAAAAAAAAAAATTCATTATTTCAGTTTACGGAATTATCCAGGACCATGGGTACTTCAGGAGAAATCGGGACAATGTGGAAGATTTGAAGTTAGTGTTTAGCGATACCTCTGTCTGTAGCATTTATGTTGTTTCTGCCATGTAGCTTCTTTACTAGTCACACAGTTCGGCAAGTGAGGTGCATACTGTGCAGTCAGACTTCCTGGGTGCCGTATGCCAGCTCCCGCTGTCTCTGGCTGGTTACCTTGGGAGAGTAGCTTACCTGGATGTCCTCTTCCACAAAATAGCCAACATCAGTACCCACTTCATGTTATATAAACGGGAAGAAATGTAAAGCCCAGTGGCTGCCATAGTATATGGCGCAGTGAATGTGAGCTATGATTATCATGGTCAAGAGCGGGTGCCGTAGAGGATAAACAGGGGCCGTGATTTCACATTAGCAGTCATCCAAGGTGCTCCAGAAGTTCAAAGGAAACAGAGATAGGACCTGCAGGGGTGGCCACTGGCACCCCTGGCTCACTGTGCACAGTCATGGCAGGTGTCTTGTTGCTTCGTCACCCCCATCTCTTGGCCCCCAGATCCTTCCTCCAGCCCTCCTGTTTCTTCCTCCTGGCCAAATGCTGCCATGCCTGACGATGAGGCTCCCACGTACGTTTGATTAGCTGCTTTTTAGCATGCTTTCCGGTTTCTTATCTCATTTGCTCCTAGCGAGAGTGAGGTAAATTTACTCTTATTTTTCAGGTGAGGAAACTCAGGTCCAGGGAGGGTAGATTATTGCCAAGGTCTTGAGGCCAGAAAACCCAGCTCATCTTGGCATTTCCCACTCAGGTAATGGACTCTGAGTTCTTTCTTGAGCCTCACCCTACGCCCCAGTATCCAGAGGTGGTGGTCTAAGCAGGCACTAACCCTGCTTTTTCTGGAATGTAGGTTTTTCCCGCTAGAGTGGCACTTCTTCTCCACACGTAGCATTTCCCAGTCCACCTCTTTCAAAAAACCCTGTTCCGAGGTGTGTTTTCCCAGTACCACCAAGCAACTCATTCGATTCCGACACTGCCTACCTGGAGGTAGCATCACATCCCACAGGTTTAGGGCTCAGCCCCACAAGACTTCTTCTCCCCACTTCAGACCCCATTTGCAAGTCCAGGTGGTCACCTGTGCTTCTGACCGACTGGCTGCTAATCAGAGGTTCCCACAGTCCCTTCCTCCTTTCATTTAGTTCGTGGGACCAGATTGTAGAACTCAGAGAAACAGCGTCACCTACTAGAACTATACCTACCAGTATATTGTAAAAGGATATAACTCAGGAACAGTCAGGTGGAAGAGATGCTTAAGACAAGGTACGGGGAAAGGGCACGGAGCTTCCATGCCCGGGGTACCAGTCTCCCCGAATCTTCACATGTTCACTAACCTCGAAGATCTCTGAACCCCGTCCTTTGGGGTTTTATGGTGGCTTCATTACACAGGCGCGTTTGATTAAATTATTGGCCATTGGACTCAATCCTCTCCCCTCGGGGAGGTTGGGGGATGGGACTGAAATGTCCAACCCTCTGATCAGCTGTTTGGTTCCCATGGCAGCCAGCCTCAGTCCTTAGTTTACCAAGGGACTTTTTAGAAGTCACCTCATTTACATAAACTGGTGTGGCTGAAAAGGGCTTGTTATGAATAACAAGCCACTCCTTTCACCTTATAACTCTGGTGCCATTTCAGAACTAGAGACAAAAGACCAAATGTTATTGGTCTTATGACCCTTAGGAAATTCCTAGGGTTTTAGGAGCTCTGTACCAGAAATGGGCAAAGGCCAAATATGTATTTCTTATTATAAACCACAATATCGCACTTGTGATCAAGCCTTCCTTGGCAGAAAGCACTTTCGATTGGGAGCTAAGAAATCTGATTCTAGTCTGAGCCCTGCTCTCTCAGCCATTTGACCTAAGGGCCTCACCAGGACCTCCTTCTTTATCTGAAATTGTCAGTAAGTGTGTTTCTCTACGAAATCCAATTTTGCCAGAAAACTGGGGATCGACCCTTCTCATCATGTTTCAACTAAAAATTAACAGAAGAATCAAATCTTCACAGCAATAACTCTTCAGTGGGATTGGGTCTCTTTTGGTAGAATGGAAAAGAATTCACTTGAAAATAATTTCAATAAAAGTAAAATGGGGGGAGTTGGAAATAGTTTGTCTATAAAAAAAAACCCCAAGAGACTGTATTTGTTTAGTAGAATTCAGCTCAGAAGGTTCTCCCCTGGAATCTCCAATACCGATACAATCGTGACGAGACCCCTTGGGTGTGTAAGCAGTCTACACTTGGGAATAGAACCCTGAGTTCGTCCACCTGGTGTGAAACAGCTGTTATTCTCAGTGGCATATGGCCACGGCACGCAGGGCATTTGGGAGTGCTCTGGAGGGCCACCCTGCTGCGCACACACTCTCAGGACAGCTGCCTTGTCACAGGGGAGGCCAAGGTGCTCTGGGTGAGGGATGCAGGAGCTACCGGGTTGTGAGTTAATGAGGCGTGGAGCCAGGTGAGGGATGGAGTTGCCGGTGACAGTAGCGAGGGCTCCCACAGGTGATCCAACCAAGGGGTTTGAGGGCTGTGAGGCAGAGAGAGCAGTGTTCAAGGCTTTGTTGTTCAAAGACAGATTACTTACTTGTCCTGATCTGATGCCTACCTATCCCCACTGCCCACTAGACCCACCCTGAGAAAGGTTCTAAAAGAAAATAAAACTCAAACGTCACTGACTTCTGATCAGCTTCAGCGAGGGATGAATGACAGGGAGAGCACTAGTGAAAAAAATGAGAGTTCGGGGCTATAGTAAAATAAAATTTTGCATGACTTAATAAAGCACAAATCAAGTCTCGGGTCTATATCTAGACTGTAATTCTCCGTGTCAATGCCGTGCGGCCATAGTCATTTAAGAATACCGCATTTATTATGGATATACTTAGTTTGAAGAAAACATTTCATCCTGTTTTCCTCTCTTTCAGGTTTCAAGTGCCCCATTTGCTCCAAGTCTGTGGCTTCTGACGAGATGGAAATGCACTTTATAATGTGTCTGAGCAAACCTCGCCTCTCCTACAACGGTAAGGGCTTGGCGGGGGCCTGCGAGCGAGGTTCTCCCCAGCCTCCCGTGGTGCTGGGCAGCATTTCCACCCACCTTCCGGCCGGAACCTGAGTGGT